TTCAGATGAAACCATGCAAATCTCAAGGAGAGAGGAGGCTGGCAGAAAGAAAAGTCCCCTGATATATATCTTTTAATTAACATAACAAAACATTCCTTTCTGTATGCAGGTAAATCATTTATGCACAATTCACTTGGGTTTCTCATCCTTATCACTAAAAACCTTTTTTCTGCAAGTTTGATTTATTTGGGAAAAAAAAAAAAACGAACTAGCAAAGTATATTGTATGACAAGGGAGTTCAGGATGTATAGCACTGAGGGGACAACAGTCACTCAAATTGCATTAATTCTTCCACAAAGTGAGAGTATAAAGGTGACTCTATCTGTCTTACCCAAGTTTTACAATATTCACTTCAAAGATCCAAGATTATTTTAAGTATATATATATTTTTTTTTTTTTACGATGCTGAGTTACGAGCCCTAGATATGTTAATCTCTTAGGCCCTTACCTGATTTGTCAGCAAGCCAAATGCAAGAGATCACTCCGTTTTCTTTGCATCGTGATCCTTTCCCCAAAGCATGAAGCAGAAGCAGAAGTTCAGGCCCAGTGCAGCCAGCGCCCGCGTGGACAACTGACGTACCACAAGCATGAAGTCACCTACTGCCTGCATCTTCTGCAGCTCCCAGAGAGTCTCTTCCAGCCCCCAGTCTCGGCCGACGGCCATATAGAACGGCTGACTTGTTAAAGGAAGCTATTGAAAATAAAAGTAACAACTTACAGCAGCTTAAAAATGAACGTTACTGTCAATATCCATAGGACTACGTTTGATGAGCAACCTGAGGAATTGCCTTGAAACTTTTTGGGGGGATAGACTCAGTGCACAGGCGCACGGTGCGTACAGCACAGTCGTATATAAACTCAAATCGCTCTACTGCAAGGAATTCTGCCATTTCAGACACATTTTTTGCTCCCTGCTTCACTAGTTACCTAAAATTTGGATGGAGGTTAGATTTTCACCCCAACAACTGAAAGGAATTTTGACTTCTACAAAGCGTCCATCCATCTGACCAGGATTACTTCTACATTCTTCGTTACCGCAGCATCTAAGAATTCATGACCTTACGTTAGATGGGTAGCATGCAAAGTCTTTAAAAACAGTTAGCTGAACTACTAAGGAATTTCGGAGAGGACAGCAAAGCCAGCAGTCCTTCTCAAGGATGTTAAGCCACAACGTTTACTTACGCTTCTCAAGTAAGAGCTGGAAATTTAAATGCTGGTACCTGTTTTTAAAAGTTCGGTATCAACCACCTTTCACCTCCTTCGGGCAGAGCCGCAAGAGCAGTGAGGTCCTGCAGAGGGGCCCGCAACACACGCCGGGATGAGGGACGGTAACCACCGTTGGCGAAACTGTTTAGAAAGTGAGCTGAAGGGTCAATTTAACCCAGTCATCAGGCTTCACACGTCGACAAACAGAAGCCTGCGGCTGGGGAGAGCCACCAGCCCTCCGTGCTCCTGTCCTGGTCACCGACGCAGCTCCCCCGCTGTGAGGGGGGACAGAGGTACCTTAGCTTTTTTTGACTGCCAACGATAAACGCTTACTGGGAAAAGTAACCTAGGCATCCCGAACTCAGGAGAAAACCTTAATACTGTGTCTCAGCACTTCCTATACACACTTCGTTTGCTCCCGTGCTCTTCCTTACTGCGTCATTCCTCCTACTTGTTACATTTGGGACTTCAGTAACACCTGGGGAAGCAAGAAGCTGCGCGGCGCATTATTAGCTTGATTATTTTCTGACATTACATTGAATGCTTGCACTACTTTTGATACTCAGAAGCGAGGAATTATTAGCTCTTTTTGAGCTATGGCTAGCACAAGGGTTGGGGTTTTTTTACATACTTAGAGCAAATAGGTCGTGAGGATGATAATAAGTCTAACTAAAGCAACAGAATGCACTCCAAGGATATTCAGATTTGTTTTGAAGCATTTCTATTACAGAGAACTTTTTTGGTATTATATTCTGTGAAACAGTTTACAATATTTTGTCTCTCTCTTTCATTGTTATTACAATTTAAAAGATTAACTAAAAATACCCTACCGAAAAATGAGACTGGTGAAGCAGTCCGATTCAATTGTATTTATTCTGCACGCTCCACGAAATTAGGACACAGTTAATCAGCAACTGTGCTTAATTAGTAAGAAACCTATTTAAACCTAATGATACACATGGCCAGGGTTGCTGCTGCTTAATGGAGACAGCAGTTCTGCTTAATTGGGATGCTTTCAGGTGATATAACGGTTGAAACTGATGCTTTGCTCTGCTGTTTCAGGCTCACGGCGGTTCTCTCTCCCCGTCCTGCTGGGAACATTCTGCAATTGGAGCTGACATAGCACCCAAAGGGCTCCCTCGCTGCCGCCTTTTACCTCCTGACTCGTGCCTTCAGCACCAGTTCTTCACTGCCAGCTGCCCTACCGCAGAACAAATCTGCCGTCCGAGGACGGGGACGACTCAGGTGTAAGGTCTGCTGCCAGCTCCCTCGAGTGTTGAAACGGCGCTTTTCAGTAGTCGGAAGGACTTTATCGTCAGCTCAAGGGTTCAGCAGCACAATATGGACTTACCTGCGACACCCATCACAGATCAGCAGTGGTCACAGCTGCCTGAATGTTTTCAATGAGAAGTTTAAGGAGTTTGCGATTCCTGCTGCTGTGACTTCCTCCTCAACAAACACCTGCTGATTTTTAGATACTGTATTAATGCCACCATACCTGGTAGCCGCTCACTAGCCTGTGGGAAATGAGTCAGACCCTTCGCTCAGTTCCTAGAAGAGCCTTCCTCTCACTCAAGCCTTTTGTTGGCAGCCTCAGAGGGAAAGGGTCACCGAGAGATTCAGACGTTTTCTCAAACCTGCAGATGAACTCCCCGAATGACAGCACCGTCACCCTGCCGAGCAGTGTAAGGGAGCTTGCAAATTAGCTGGTCTATCACAGAGAAATAACAAAAATTGGCTCAAAGGATGGCAGTTTCTCATGACCATTAAATGCAGGCTGAACAACTAAGAAAGGAGGATTTGTAAAGACGTTTTGTAAAGACAGCGTTTTAGACAAGATACCAAAGCCAGAACAAAGTTTGCACAGTACGCGGCACTTGGCAGTGTGTCAGTGTAACACGAGATGGCTTCACTTCCATCAACAAAGAGCTTAGCGCCACAGCAGAGTCCCTCAAATCTAAGCAAGTAATTAATTGTGCCCATCGACTGAAACTAGACCTGTCAAATGGTACCGTGCCGGTCCAGTCAACCCTCGGGGTCAAGCGGCAGGACAACGTTGCAGCCTGTAACAGCGTGAGTTGGGAAGATGCCACAAGTCTTGGAAAAACATGGGAAGGGATGCAACTCCAAGCCGCCTCGCAGATCAGCGGCTGTCTTTTGCGAAAGACTGAAAATATGGGAGACCACAACAAGCCTTCAGTAGCTGGAAATACATTCATTTAAGGGCAGTAGAAATACCGCTCTACCGATCCACCTTTAGTTGAACTTTCTTACCATACTCCTTTGCACCTTTGTTGTTTTCTTCTGGCTTCTCACATTCACAATGCCCCGCAGAACCAACGCAGACGTTTCATGAAAAAGGCTACCGTCCGAAACTGCGTCTGCACTAGTTCCTACATAAAGTTTCACTGGGGTTTCACGAGTACAATCCTGCTAAGTATCGATGTTCTCAGCGTAGGCTGGTGGGAGGACAACAGAACGGCTGAGGCAGAAGAGACCGGAAACGTCGGGATTAGCCACGACAGCAGCAAGCGGAGGGAGGGAGGAGCAGGAAAGATCGGCAAGCGCGTAGGGAGAATGAAAAACAAGGCGGCTTTAGAGAGAAGGGGAAAAGAGAAGGGTGAGAGAGTAGAGAAATTACACACCAACCCTAAACCACCTCAGGAGCAGGAGACGTGATTCGAAGCGGCCGTTTGCCCAGGGCAAAGGTGGCTCGGTGCAACGTGGCCGTCTGTAGCGACTGCAAACACGAACGCACGTGCACACACACTTCGTGTACCTATTTAGAAGTAAACCAGGACTTCTACTTGTCGCTGTGAGTGCGTCTGTCTGGCAGGGAACATCCACGCAAGGTGATGCGGCGCATCTTGTGGCTTTTCAGTACATCTTTAGAATTAGCCCCTTCAACTGTCCTGTGTTCAATTGGATCCAAAACCTTGCCTCCCCTACTTCCAGCAGAAAGACCTGCTGGAATACGTCGGGAAAAAGCAGCATCACTTCAGTGGTATGGCTTCACCGTCCAGGACGCAGAACAACACAATGATAAATTTTAAGAGAATGCCGTGTTCCAAAAAAACCCAACCCCACCCTCCCATATCCTTACAAGACTCCTGTCTGACCCACCAGATTTCACAACCTTCGCTTCCGCGGCCTTCCTGCTGCTGGTCCCGTCCCCGTCTCACTTGCAGTGAAGGCCCCCAGGGGGACGCGGAGATGGAATCAGCTCAGCCAGAACGTCAGCCCCTCCAGCCACGCAGGTGAAGGACACAGCCTGACCAAGCTTCGCTACAAAGCTAGGCGACAGAGGATCTGGGTACCTAACCTAACGCATAGCACCTTGGTCATCGCTAGTATATTTTTGTATGAGGTGGCCACGAAGAATAAAAATGCCTACCCTGGAACGGCTGCAATAATACTTTGAAAACGCTGTAATGCAAAAGATCTTTCTGCTGATAACAAACATGGAATAATTTATGTCTGTAGCGTACAAGCATGAAAACGACTGAACAAGACCAACTCTATGCTATCGATTTTTAGATAAATGGCCAGGTCGGGGAGTGACCGCAAGCACAAAAAGAGTAGAGGTGGATGGCAAGTTAAGTGCTATTTCGGCTCTCCTGCGACCTTGCTGGTCGTAAGTTCTATGAAGATTCATTATCAGAACTGCAATTTGGTTACCACTACAACAGTTTCAGGCTTCCCAGCAGCAGCTTGCTGGAGCTGCTGAGGTTAAAGGCAATTTTTTTAAAGCTGTATGAATGATCATTAAACATGATTGCTAAAGCAGCAAACTGTCAAAGTTGTTTCATTTATTTCTTAATATCACAGCTGTACAATTTTCATACATAGAGCAGGAAATGCACATTGGTTACACAATGGCATTTGGCTGCATTTCCAAGTATAATACAGTAAGTGCAACTCCACTTAAAAATGTACATTTATACAACTTAGACAAATTAAGGATTGCTACACTACTATCTGTGACAGTATAAAGCTTCATTTATGTTAAGTCTCATTACTAAACCAGTTCCTGGTTAAATATAAAACATATTCAATCATTTTAAAATGGCCCTTGTGGTACTTGGCCAGCATATAAAATATTTGTTGTGTAAAATTTAACCATTAACTTTTTCTTTTTAAAAATAATCCTCTAAGCCTATTTAAACATTTGCTGTTGAACTGTTATACTGACACTTTGTAGCAGGAACCAAATTTTACCCTCCTTTTGTTTGCTCTTGCACTGCTTGTCATTGAGAGAAGTTACATTTGTAATGTATTGCAGCTTTATTCAGATACAACCAGAGGGCTAAACTATTTAACAATTTTGCTCAAAAGGTGAATAGCATCTTTCAATAAAGAAAACGAAATTACATTTCAGAGATATTTGTCATCAAAATTTTAATGGGTAGAGTGCTACCAGCACTGGGGGGGGGAGGGGAGGGGGGAAGTATTAATTTACCTTTTAAGACCCACCCGAATATTCAGTTTAAACTCTTATAACTTCACTTTTGGAATACATTGGTCCACAGACCACAGTCTTGTTACAGTTTACCAAATGAAAAACAAAATTGCTTATTGCCGTCCCTATAACAGGAATGGTTCAGTTTTAAACCTCCTTTAAAAATATACATTTTACAATCCTTTCACCTCAACAAAGGTGACACTGACAATAAATACACTGGTTTGGTGGTTTTATTTTTCTTCACTACAAAAAGTCTACAAACTACCTGTTGTAGGCCCTTTCTTTTTTAGACTTCTCCAATGCCTTGTCCATAGTTTTCTCGTTTTCTCCTCTACATTTGGGGCAGTACCATTTGCCCTTTGGTTTATGATTGAGTCCCACGCAGGAAAAGTGAAACCACTCAATGGGGCACTCATCGTTATCGCATCCTATCATTTCTCCATAGGAGACTTGGTTGCACAAGCAGTATGTCGGCTCGTTTGGGTCAATAGGAAGGTCTGGGGGAGAAGCTTCCCTCTCTGCTTTAGCCTTGGATCGTTTCTTCTTCTTGGACGTTTTTGCTTTCTTCTCCTTTGGAGTTCCTGAGGTGAGGTCATCATGATCGTGATTATTTGAAGCATTTTCTCGATTCTCATTATTTCTTTGCCGCCTCGATCTCTTATTGTTGGGCTTTTCAGCCTGCGCGATTGTCTCGTTCTTTGACTTATCTTGGCTGGCTTTCCCGCTGTTGCCAGTGGTATCATTAGTCTCTTGACAAGTCTCAAACAGTTCCACGTGGCTGTCCACTTGCCTGGTTCTGTTCTCAACGAGCTCCACCATCTGACTGACGATTTGGATCTTCTCGTCCCCCAGTTCCTGACTCCGAATCAAGGCCCTCTGTATGCAGTGCAACATTCTTCTCTTCTGCACGGCATCTGTCTCTCGTTTAAATTTTTCATAGTAATCATCCAGGTCCTTCAGAATCTCTGCAAGGAAGAAATAAAAACTATAAATATTTTTGACAAGGAGAATGGCGAAACAAAGCCTTCCCGTATCGTTCCTTCCACACAGCAACACCTTTTGGTAACGCGCAAAGCTGATCGAAGACAGATTCCCCGAAGCTGGTATCTGACAAGGGGCTCACGACTCCAGTGGATTACTTTTGTTCCAGTCGGTCCCGCAGGAAGAGAATGCAGATGCCGATTTAGAAATAAAAAAGGGACTAAATATAATTTTATGCATGCTGACAATTCTTCCCTTTAAACTTATCAGTAATTAAAAAGAACTAGCTAACTAACTGAACAAATACACACACACGGTCAAAAGTTCCAAAATTAATTGTAAAATTACAGGGGAAATTAATAGATGGTCTTCCTGGACATTTTCTGTATAACAACATTAATATTTTTAGTGAATGACTGAGAGCGGGAGAAAGAGAGTGGGACAGAAAGCAAGCACAAACCAGCGTAGAAATCGGGTGCTGAGTTACTTAATAATCACTATCACACTTGACAGCTGATGCAGAAGAGCTCCAAATACACGGGGCTAGGCCCTAAGCTATGGCAAGTTTCATCCGATACTTCTGAGTTATTTTTTGCTGAAAACGTGAGGCCACTTAAATCCCTAGGACTACAGAATTAGGACTGCAACGTCCAAGATGTCTGGATGATTTCCTCCCTATACTTTCTGTAAAAAACCTGTTGCTTACTTTTTAAAACACAGAAATATAATCTTCATTAAATATCTACCGCAAAGGAGGAGACGAAAAAGTTAGAAGATAACGTTAAAGATGATATGCAACAATTGGAGCAGCTAGAGCTGCCGACTTAAAATGCTAACATTGAAAATATGGTAGATCTTGAACTGCGCCTCAAGGGTTGTTCCAACAGTGTGTAAGAACGAACACTGCACAAAAGCATTTAAAGTTTCAAGAATAGTTCTAGAAACTTATTTTTAAGCAGGTGTTTTTGAATTTCACTATGACACTCAAACCAACTCAAACATACAGGACACTCAGCATCTCCATACTCATGTATGTCCTCAAAAACATGCAGAATGTTTTTCCTGCATCTCCTTTCTTCTCTGATTTTTCCCTTTCTCACAGGTTAGAACATTCTGCCTTAAGAGAAGCAAAATATACTGACATATAAAATCTAACCTCAATTCACCTAAGAGAAAGCAGGATCTTATACATGCAAATGGCATTACCAAAACTGCCTCTGAATTTCATAAGTATGAACTTACTTCTTTTAAACTTTTTTTTTTTAAATAAACAGAATGTGGTAACAGCAATTTACATATGCAACTAATAGTTATCCTGTACTTTGTCTTGCCTGGGTAGATTTTTTGAACACACGCATTCCAAATTTCTTGTGAAGACATGGAAAGTTTATGCAAGTTTTACTTTAGTTTTTAGAGCTGCAGCCTATGCTTCTCACATCGGTTAAGCACGATCTGTCAGCAGGTACTGCAATATAACCTATCTGACCAAAATCAGTATTTCAATGCTATTAACTATCTATCTTAAGCAAATGCCCTTTTTCTAACTAAAAAAAAAAACCCACCCAAAAAACCAAAACCACACACACACAAAAAACCCACCCAAAAACCACCCCAAAACACCCACCCAAAAACCCCCAAATGTAGAGAACATTAAGCATTCAGGAAGACTAAAAACGCAGCGTTAATTATTTTCAATGGCTGAAATGCAGAAGTTCTGTGTTCTAAGTTTTGGCACTTGACTGATGTCATCAGTTTAACCCATCTGAATCTGGTACGTAGGCATCTTTCCTGAAGAATACACTCTCTCTTGACACCACAAAATAATTAGTGACTTAATGACTTAAGTCGGGCATATACGAAAACTTCAGTTCTAGTCCTGCATATAGACATTAACACTACAGCACCGCACCACCTCCTGAAACTGCCGTATGATGCAGGAGAAATAGTTGGCTGCAATGATCCCGAATTCCGCAAAGCCCTGCCGAGCGCGTCCTCGGGCACCCACACGTTTAGTATGTAAGACACCACGCGAGATGCGCCTTTTCGCAAACAGACAGGGCTGCTTCGCATCAGTGTGGGAAAAGACGTTGCTCAAGCGGTGCACCAGCTAGAAGAAACGGCTTGACAGCTGTCCACTACAGCTCGGAGGAGGACTGCACCACCGTTCCCCACACCAGCACGCTCAGCTGAAGTTGCCCGCCCCAAGGAGGCCGCGGTTATAGGAATTCCAGACAACTGGAATTTCCCCTGGCGTCCTGTAACGGAAAGACCAGAAAGCAGAGTTTTGCGCGATTTGCGTGTTATGCAACTGTTCACCAGCTGTGAATGCACACCCCCAGCATCGCAAACGCCGTTCAAATGACCCCCCTGGCGTCCTGTAACGGAAAGACCAGAAAGCAGAGTTTTGCGCGATTTGCGTGTTATGCAACTGTTCACCAGCTGTGAATGCACACCCCCAGCATCGCAAACGCCGTTCAAATGACCAAAAAAAAAGGTGCCCGATGTTGTGAAAGCTTTATTCCCACAACAGCTCCCTAGCCCTCGCCGGGGCCGCGACACCGCCGG